CCTCCACAAGAGGAGGCTAAGGGGGGATTTGGTGGCTGTCTATAAACTGGCCAAGGGAGACCAGCAGGCAATGGGAGAGTCCCTATTCCCCTGAGCACTACTGGGAGTAACAAGAAACAACGGCCATAAGCTGACAGAGAGCAGATTCAGGCTGAATATCAGGAAGCACTACTTCACAGTCAGGGTGGCTAGGATCTGGAACCAACTTCCAAGGGAAGTGGTCCTCACTTCTACCCTGGGGGTCTTTAAGAGGAGGCTAGCTAGACACCTTGCTGGGGTCGTCTAACCCCAGCATTCTTTCCTGCTTGTGGCAGGGGGTCGGACTTGATGATCTGCTCAGGTCCCTTCCAACCCTACTAACTATGAAACTATAATCCAGCCTGTCCAAAAGACAATCAGGAATTTATTAGAGTTCTTTTGTATTAATTTTTCTGTACTTGCTATTGTAGGTCTCATTCTTAGATATCTTATCTTTGCTAGCCCTATTATACCTGGGCTCTGGTCTTGCATTTCTCAGTGGGCGCATCTAGACATGCTATTACGGTGCACAAATAAACTGTGGAGTTTATTGCTCTGCAGCTTATTGCTCCTGGGCATGCTGTTTGAACATACATCCAGGAACAATTAATTCTGGAGCAATTAACTCAGGAGCAATAAACTCTGTAGTTTATTCATGCACAGTATGTGGAGCCAGATCAGAGCAGTCCCAGCTGGCAGGGAGCCCTGGGGGTCAACCTGTCAGCATGGCACAACTTGCTCAGTCCCCCTGGCTCAACTTGCTGTAGGAGGGCTGGCTGGAGCATGAGGGTGCGTCAGTGTGAGTCTAGTCGGCAGGCAGCCCCTGCATTGAAGCACCCTCATCTCCCAGTCAGCCTCTCTATTATCTACGTGTGCACTGCTGTTGATTGTTGTACTCTACAGTAGGATATTATTTGTATTTACAAGTACTGTTATGCTGTGGAGTAAATTAAACTTCTGCAGCCTAATGAGGTGCATGTGTAGATGCTAGACATTTACTGCGCAGCTAGTAAGTCAACTGCACAATGAACATCTTATGTAGATGTGTCCTGTTTGGATTGTTTAGCATTTGCATCCTCATGGAAGGGTAAATCCAGAAATGTAGTTGGGAAGGGGGTGGAATATATTCCTGAAGCACTTGTCTAATGCACGACCTCCTAAATGAGAAGCAAGGTAGCAGGACACAAGAGCATAGTTGCTTTTTAAGGCGGACATAGAGCTAGGACTAGCGTCCAAGATCAAGGATAATAAAAAGTTCTTTTTCAAATATATAGGGAGGATGAAGAAGGCACCAGGTAATGTGGGGCCCCTGCAAAGTACGCTGGGCAATCTGGGGGTTGCGCCAGAGGAGAAAGCTGAACTCTTTAACCAATTCTTCACCTCTGTTTTCTTGTGCAGGGACCGGGACTTCCCTGCTGTGATGCCAGACGGACTCGAGGGGAAT